GCACGAAGACGAAGGGCGACTGTTGACGGTGAGCATGAAGACGAAGGGCGACGGCGACTGTTGATTGTGAGCACGAAGACGAAGGGCGACGGCGATGAGACGAAGGCCGTGAGCACGAAGACGAAGACGAAGACGGAGGAGACGGCGGTGAGAAGGAGAAGACGATGAGAAGGAGGAAGCGATGAGAGGGAGGAAGCGATGAGAAGGAGGAAGCGATGAAATCCACGGGAATGGATTTCAAATCCCGTGTAAGGGTGAAGGATTCTCAAATCCAGTGTTGGTGGGATTTCAAATGAATCCCGGGATTTGAAATCCGACCATTTCTACAAACCAAACGTAGGATTGGAATGGATTTCAAATCCAAATCCCTCAAACCAAACGCGCCCTTAGGGGGCGTTTGGTTTGATAGAATTTTGAGGGATTTGGATTTCGTGAAATGATTTGGAATCGAAGGTATCTGGATTTGGAATCTTTTGTACATTTCGTTTGTAGGGACTTGGAATGAAATTGAATTTCATTTTTTCTACAAAAATTATAAAAACAATTTATAAGTGATCATAAAAATAAATAAATTATCTTTTTATTAATTGATTATTAACATATTTTAATACATTATTGTATATAAATCATATGAAATACTAACCATGCTCATGAAATTTCAAAATCTTATGTTCGTGGGATTTCAAATTCAGGAAATCCTTCAAACCAAACATGAGATAGGAATTCAATTACAAATCCATTCCAATCCTACAAAGGTCATGTTTGATTTATAGGAGTTGACAAGATTTGGAAGGATTTGAAATTCAATTTCATTTCAATCTCATGTTTGGTTTGAAAAACTGCTTAAATTCCGTTTGATTTGTAGGATTTGAATAGAAAATCATATTCACATACAAAACAAATTCGTCTCAAAATCACGGAAAAAAGGTTTGCATTTATTTTATTTCTCAAACCCTACCTTTCGACTTGGGTTGTGTAATTTGGTTTATACGATACACACTCTTAAAAGGTTAACTTTTGGTTAAAAATGCAAACAATAAGGGTAAATTGTGAGTTACAGTGTTACCCTCGAGAATGTTCCCAAAATATTGAACGTACAACCATCATGAGGGGGTAAATTGTGAGTTAGCAGCAAGTGACAGTGCCTAGATTTCAAACCCAAGACCTCCTTCATGGATGCTCACCATAACCCGACACAATCCACGTCGGGAAGAAATCAAAGAACTTCCTTAGGAATCCTACAAGATCCATTGGCTCTTTTTTCTCTAACAAATGGTCAAAACTTCATCTAGGTCCCTTATTGCCCAACCTGATAGCAGACAGCTAACGCAGTTCCACTTGTTGAACCAGTTCTATGGTCGGTCCTAACCCCTGGATCCCGGGGACTCTGGTAAATTACTCCCGTCCAACAACAAAAGTTAGATTTTAGTATTCAAAAAACAAGATCTTCATTAGGCCATAACCGGAAACAAATTGTGCTTGTTCTTTCGCAGAAGAACAAGTTCCTGGAGTGCTAGTAAAATGTGCAATATATGGTCGTTTACTCGCCTAGAGCGTATGATTCAGTATAATATGATCGTTAGAAAAACAGATCAAGAACCATACCCATTTCACCAAAAACAATCAACTAGATAAGAGAAGTAGCAGGATCATATGCCAATTGATTTATACTCTCAACTCTTGCTCCCAATTAGCCGCTCATGTACTTGCACCTGTGCGTTAAAAAATGACCAAATTATCAGATCAAAATTTGCAGTTCTAATTCAATCATGACCGATACCCCTTTCAGCAATTTTACTATAATTGTAGCAGATTAAACAATCATGGGATTCCTATGTATTCTAGGAACTGTTTTCAAGAAAGGAATCTGCAAGAGTTTGTACATAGTGAAGGGTGGTAGCATGTTCTGAAAACTAACAATTGATTTAGTGAGACAAGAAAAGGATAAAAGGATCAGTTTTGTCATTCAGGCAATTTATTCAGCAGCAAACAAACAGCAATTTAGGGGTCATTTACCAACATAAACTGAGTAAGCGCTTATCGGATAAGAGTCACCACCTCACTTACCTTTACCGGGTAAGATCCTTGGTCATCAAAATGGCATAGTATATGCGTCTCTTATTCTTTTTTTTTTATTAACCTGGATATCCAACCCGCTATGCGAGCCAACTAATCTCAGGGCAACCATCTGCTTTGCAGATAGCCCGGAGTCACCGCATTTGAACCTCCGTGGCCACAAAGGGATTTTTATTCCTCTTTGGATTTGAACCTGGGACCTCCTGGTACTTTTGACCTTTGGAGCCAAGCTCAAACCAATCAGGCATCTCTTATTCGGTAAGCACTAACAGGGTTAAGAGTCACCACCCTAACTTACCGGGTAGCATTCTCGGTTAGCAAAATGGCACGGTCAGTAAAAACCATCATCTCTTACCCAGTATACAGGGTTTAACGAAATAACAGACAAACAGCACCTTAGTATTGTTATAGATTGCATGTTTCTGCAAGTAATAAGAATTGAAAAGGTTGCCTTCTACATCTTGGAAAAGTTAAGTTGTTGCCTACCCAAACTAACCTAGGCAGCAGGTAGAGTCTCACAGGATAAATCAGTTATCGTTTCACTTAAGATATTCGTTGCTAATTCCAGATATTGGCAGGGCTAAAAATGTAATTAGTCACAAAAGGCTGACTTCATGTATACCAGCACGGAAAATATAATATTAGTAATCAATGCTTTCTTTGTGTAAGCATCAAGGAATACATAAAAATTTATGCAACATTTGATATGCCATTACCATCTTACACAAAATTGTTTATGCACCAAGCTCCGTAACTTTTCCAATTGCAACTGTTTTTCCTGTAGAAGAGAGACCAAAGCATTGCTTAGTTGCTGGCACTTTTGCCCTGTTTTTTATAATTTCTTTCCGGGGTTGGTGGGAGAAAGAGAAAGAAACAATATCGCAGGCATTTAGGTTAGAATTTAGATATATATTTAAACAGATTCTCACCTTCTGTGCGGAGTGTGAACCGACCAAGCTGCTGAAATTCCGAGAATTTCTCAATGCATATCATATTAGTCACCTGGGGAAGACATTAGAGAAACGACCATAAAAAATTATGTCTTCCAGAAAATCAGTGTAATCCTCGCTTGAAATTTGAATAAAGGACAAAGCTCTGAAGACAAACAGCACAACATGGTATTTATATGTTTTGCAGTTTTTTTGTGAGTCTGTACCATAATGAGTTGTGTGAATGGGTTCTTACTTAACTCATTAATAATAATTTCCATGGGAAAAGAGTTTTCAAGAACAGAACATTTAAAAAAAGAAAAATCCAGATATACCAAAATCAAAGCCTTCTATGGTTCAATATACTTCATGTCAACTGACCATTGATCATAGGAGGCGCTTGGTAAGCAACTAGGCAGTAACAAAATGGAGTGAATGGATTATTCCATCAAAAAAATTCTAATTTTGTCATACCTTCAAAATGTGGGTGAGGTTTTGCATGCACATGCCGCCCCCGGGTGGGGGGGTCATTCATTCAATCCAGAGATGGGATGAAATTTCTATGTTGAACCTTTTGCTTGGAATTGAAAATGGTGGTTGGTTGTCAAATTAACAAAGAATAATAACCCTGAGCATTGTTTGTTGATGATAACCAATATGACAGTTTTGGTCCCTTTTGTCAAATTATAAACTTGGAGGCAACCATAATCACAAATTGTAGTAAGGAATGACTGAGGAGCGATGATAGGAAGAGTTCTAATTGCATGTAACTGTAATGATTTATCTATAAAAAGTATTTCACTCTATCTTTACTTTTTTTTAATCACATTTATTTGGAGGCAGGAGGACATAATTCATGAAATGGGAACTTTTTGAATACATGTCAGCCTATCTGTAACTGCTTACAAGCTTTTCTCAACTGTTGTATGAAAACTAACCTGAATACGGCATATGACAACAGCACCATTCTTCACAAAGAGCACCTTCTTTTTCATAGGTTTCCTAGTTTTAGGATCAATTTGCTGCATCAGTTCAATAATCTCGCATTCCTCAACAACAGCATGAATGTGCAATATAGCCTTGTAACCAGCAGTGAAAATAGCCTAAAATAGCAAGATTAACAATTCATAAGAAATAAAATAATATAACTGATGAAGCATAATAACAAATCCAAGAAGAAAGATATTTTAGTTCCATACATTTTCCAGCAATTCAAGAATATGCAACTGAGCGACAAACTCATAAACAGCTGCTATTGGTTTTTCTGCATACAAACAGAGAACATTAAACCCAATAAAGACATCCCAAAAGTAGGACGAAGAAATGTACAGATTGCTAACAAACACAAAGGCAAGTGTTTGAACTTGGTGACTAGCCTCAACCTTCTCAAACTTGCAATATTACAGAAATACAAACACACAAAGGGTAGAAAAAGCAGTTTTCCACATGTCAGGCGCCTGATGCCATAAGTGTGTATTCAGGCACAGTGAGAGACACATGCACAGAAGCCAAAAGAAATGCACACAGAATTTGGCATGCCTGCACTCCCGTGATTCCATCTGCTCTGTATCCACCAATCTATCTATTGGTAAAAATTACCAATAATAGGGAAATTCATGCAGAATAATTCCTTGTGGATGTAATTGCAGCAAGAAATGACACTCTTAAGACAATGAAGCCTATGTTCACCGTATAATGAATCTCATCTTAATTTTTGCATGAGTCAGAGCAATTTGGGATTATAATTAAAGAAGCCATGATCCTTGAAAAGTCGTTCAGCTGGTATAAAATTGTTGTCCTGTTATCCTCTTAGTCTAATGTATTTATTTGTTTTGTTTAGCCCTAACATCAACAAGTAAAGGCAAGTGACTACTCTATCTTTGCAAAAAATTGTTCAATGCCACACGACATCCCCAACATGAAAATTTCAGTGTTAGTAGTCCTGGAACACAAAAGAGGATATGATGGTATGCCCCCTGTTTGGCATTTCCATGCCTGAGAGATTAAGATATTATATGTGTTGCTATTGATCCTAGAAGAAAACATACCAACGCTGGAAAGAACAAAACCCGATAGTATGTCTTCTTCTTCAATCCCAGATACTCGGACTCGTAGATTCTCACCAGGGGCTGCACTCCTACATCTGTCTTCATCACAATATAAGGCAACAACTTTCACTTGAACCTGCATACACAATTTATAAATGTACCCTCTTAAAGAATGGCATTTGGAATGAAGAAAGAAAAACAACAATAGGAAAAAAAAATTGAAAAGAAACCATTAAAGAAAGCACCTTGTTTGGCATAATCAGCAGGTTACTGCCCTCACGTACACTACCAGATTCTACTTTCCCCATAACAACAGTCCCCATGTCCTTGAACTTGTCGATAATAGGCATTCTGAATATTAAATATTAAGTTAGATAACAAACCTAATCAACTTATCGACAGTGCTAACCTAGAGAAGAGAAACAATTTCAAAATTAGTGATCTTAGAAAGCAAAACAAGCAACATCAAGTTATGGAATAATAACATGGCCACTAATAGGAATTATTCTTAATCAATTAGAGCAGAGTGTCAATACAGGCTGATAGAGAGACGAGCATAAAAACATAACTCGGTTAAGGAAGGGCCTGAAAGCATAGATAGTATCACAAGAATTGGAAGTGATACCTGAATGGAGCTTTTGGATCACGTAGTGGAACATCTATAACATCAAGGACTTCAAAGAGACATTGGCCATCCCACCATGGACATACAGTTTTGCTCATTCTTGTTTGCAAATTGGTACCATAAAGGCCAGATATTGGAAGAAACTGAATATCTGCAACCATTAAAAGATAACCATATCAGTACAGTTACTTGGGAGAACTTAGCGCAACAAATAATATCCAAAACTCTACAAAACCATAAGTTGAATCTCTCAATTTCAAACTAATTTATCCTACATTGAGGAAAAGAGTTAGTTTTGGGGGAATGTGATTCTCCATTTAACTTGAATAGGAGGGAAAACCAACCTTAGACAATTTTCCCCTTATCTTCAATAAACCTAATACTTCTTAACATCTTCTTGTTTGATCACTGCTATTCACTGTTGTATGAAAAACAATCTACACATAATGACCTTAGTTTACCATCCATGTTGCTCTTTAATCTTCTCACTAAATAAACTATCATGTCTGCAACATCCTAAGCGGTTGAAGCCATGAAAATCAGCTTATATCAAGGTATCGTCAGTAAATACAAATTTCATCAGCAAAGTCTGCATAGTGGTAAAATGCCTTTCTTCCAACACTGCAGTTGCTTAACAAAATTCTTTTACATTATCAGTATTTACCTGGTGCAAACATTTTAATTGCATTATTTCCTAGGATTGAACAAGGTAAAACTATGTGCATTTAGTCCCAAGCTAGGATAAATGAGGGTGCGTCAGGCTTTGCTTGTCCATCCATTGTATCTGGCATCAATGGAATTTTAGTGTTCTTTATTGATTTCATTCAAATCCCATTTCATGTATTTATTTAATTCTTGAAATGCATGATTCGTATTTGATTTTTCATTAGATTGTTTGTTAATTTATAGTAATATTTCTGGTGTACTTATTTAGTGTTAATTTGGCTCAACTTTTTTTATACAAGCACGTGTACCAATTCAGTAAGAAGAAAGCATATATAATAGTTAATATGTATTATTGATATGATTTTCACAGCTGGAGAATATCAAACACTGCAAAAAAGTACATAAGAAGACCACTGTTGCAATTTGCAGCAGCATGAGTACAGCCGCGCCACTAATCTTCGTCTGATTTATCACTGGTTACTTATGTGTCATGGCACACAACAGATAGAGATGACTAGCAGCCGTCTGTCGCTTCACCTTGATCATCTCACCACCACTGGCATTGGCGCTACGCCTAGCACCATTCACCCCAGCCACCTGGGTATGGACAAGTCCCTCCTAACTGATATCACAAGAAGTACTCCGGATGAAGCGATCAGGTTTTTCCAGACCAAATAGCCTCTTTTGACCAAGTCTACAGCCGATGGGAGGGGCATTCTTGATCTCCATAGTTATGAACGGATCTTCCAAGGCCGAATACGTCCATTAAAAAATCCTAATCTATGGATTGAAGCCTCGAGGGCTACAGGTCATGTAATGATGATAGTATGCAACTGGCAGATACACTGATTTGGTTGAGTATCTTTCTTTGTTTAGGGTATGGTTTCCCGATCTACATGCATATACATTTGTATTTTTCAGTAATCATAGTTGGAATGAATCTTTACCTGGCCAGATGCTATGATCTATTCCCCCCGAAACGTCCATGAAAGAAGTCCTAATCTACGGATTGAAGCCTAGAGGGCTATGGGGTGATGTGATGGTGAACAATATGCAACTGGCAAATATGTTCACTAATTCGATTATCTTTCTTTGTTTATGGTATGATTTCCTACTCTATGTCCATATACATTTTTACTTTTCAGTGACCATAATTTGGAATGATTCTTTACTTAGCCACACCAAATGAGGTGACATATATCTTGTATTTTTCAGTAATCATATATCGGAATGAATCATTATTTGGCCAGACCAAACAGGGTGATATAAAATCCCCCCAAAACTGACGAGCAAAAAAGGAAGTGAGTTAAACAAAGTAGAAGCAACTTGGACAAAGAAATAAAGTGGCTTCCACATTACTAGAAAAAGTGAGCCACCGGTTCAGGTACAAGATATTGGTTCTCCTTGAAATGCGTTGAATCCTTAATTGTATCAAAAGCAAAAATTATTGAAATGATCACATGTTTTGGTATTTGACCATTTGTCTCTGAAAAAAAAAGCTTTAATATAGCATAAACTGTTGTCTTTTCCCCCAAAGGAAAAGGATGCAGAAAAAAACACAGTTGTTTCTGAAGCATTTCCACCAAAGTAAAAACTAAAAACAAGTGAAAAGGTACAGTTGTTTATAAAGCAGTCCACATACTATATGGTGGGTCACACCCTTACATGTTGATACAGGAGTATCTGAAAACAATTGGTAACCCCACAACAGCGAACTTATCATGCATGGTAATCAATCAATGATTGTCCTACCTGCTATATCTCATTACTATTTCTAATAACTATAAAGGATACACCCTACCTTTTCTTGCTTTCATATCCTTTTTCTTGCTTACAATAAATAGTGGCCATGCACATGCAACATAATGTAGGTGGCTCCAGCAGTTTTTGGTGATATATTTGGCTTGGGAATATGATGAAAATGGTTCAGTCTTGCAAAAATGTGATTTGCCTCGATTTTCAGCTAATTTTGCCCACAAAAGGAAGACAATCTCTTTTTAAGCGAAAAGTAGCAGGAAATGGTACTGATTTGTCCTTGCCCTCATCTTATTGGCTGAATATTTGGGGCGCTAATTTTGTCAAGAGCCTGTATAATAGAGGTTCATGCATTCTGATAGTCAGTTTTGATGATGTGAAATTTCAATAAAGAGCAGGCTCTATTTTCTTGAAATCTTCATCTTCCTTTTGAGATTGTTCTTTTTAATCTTGGTGGTGTGAACTTTCCCTTCCCTCTTGGTGGTTTCATCTTCCTTTAGAGATAACAGTTGTTGGTTCTTTATGCTTGTCTCTAATTTTCTGTCTTACAATTTCAGAGCAACAACTTCATTGTTTCTGTACAGCAACAATTTTCTTTCTGCCCATCACATATTTCATATCAAAAGTGAACACAATATTTTGTTGTCTTGTAAAATTCTGAGTATACATCTTTTTAAAGCGCCCCTTTTTAATTAGGACAGAGAAGAAGACTTATATATGGTATTTTTCAAGACATTAAAATCCTGCTTCAAGTCATGTAGGTTTGTTTAATAATACAAAAAAATCCTATTCACATATGCAATATGCCATGCAATTGAGATGATCTCTACGTGTAATAGAATCAAATGATAAGGGTTCAAGTCAATAAGTCCATTTACGTCCGTCATTAGGTGACAAAAAGATACCAACTTAGTCATCTAACTGAAAACCATCCAGATCATGTCACCACTTTCAAATGGGATATCCTCGACATTGGGGAGCCATGAAGCCCGATACAGTAGCACTATCATGATGGTTTAGACTGCAAAAGCCTCAATCTATTTGGTACCTACCTATTATAGTCCTACTTTTTGTCTCGTGCCTATAGAGCCTTCCAGGCATACTCTTGCTAATTCCAACAAAATCATTCTTTGTTTGGATACCACACACACATCAAAAATCTGGTTGATGAGCTTAGAGTGTTTCCTTTTGAGTTCTAATCCTAGATACTAAAATTAGTGGCTTGACAATTAGTCCGATGGTCATACTTCTAGGGCGCTGTAAAGCAACTAGTATTCAGTACACATACTCTTCTGAAAGAGACACATAAAGAGCCCCAATAGTGAGGTGTTACAGATGAACCTTTTGATTTTTCTTTAGTTGCACTAATGCACGAATGCCTTCTGTCAGGAAGGAGCTGATTGGCAGGGGTTGTATGCTGGGCAAGGGGACTGGTAGAGATGTTTGTCATGGATCTCGGCGTTCCGCAGAGGCACTAACGGGGATGTCTTCCTTCTACTAAGTTTCACTACTGTCATAATTTTTAATCATGGGAAATGGACTAGTTCTTCAAGTTGAGTTAGCTCGACGCACCGCTTTGCCTTGGATTCCCAATTCAGTAAGGAAGAACTCTGCTTGATATGGGTCTATCCTTCTTCTAAGGAGCATACTGCCCCTCATTTTTCTATAGCACAATAAGGTACTTCCACATTTATGATGCTTTCTTTTCTTTGTGGATTATAGACCCTGGTGCAATTAGATCATATGACAGAATAAGCATATTCTTCCCAGGTTGTCCCTCTCTACTTGTCCCCCAATTACATTCAAAACATATGAAGCACTGATTCACAAAGATCTATCTGGTATTAATCTTTCAAACATTCTTTATATGCTTACTTTCTATCTATAAGAAAATTTAATCTTTCAAACATTCTTTATACTGAAGATATGGATTGTTCTCTAATAGTCTTCTATTTGTGTCATCCTAACACACCGCATTGTTATTAGGGGAACACTGTAGTTATAAATCGCATGCCCTCTTAAGAGTTTTAGAAAGACATTCCATACCAAAGACTTTTCAACGATATAATCCTTTGAAATACTACTCTATAAATCTTTGATTATAGATAATATGAGCATGATTTTGCATATCATACCACTAAGCTCCTTGAACCTGGTTTGCATTTTCCAAGTCATCCTAACCTCAAGTGCATATGTATCTATTCTTGCATTTTTGGAGGTACTAGAATAAGCTTTTCATAATACTCTAACTCACTGACAATCAAGGTTCTAAAATGTCGTGAGGCGTGGCATGGTTACAAGATCAAGCATCAAGCCTTAGGAGCTATGGCAAGGCCACAACATTTTTCAAGGTGTGACTTAAGATGGCAAGTTAGTATATGATACATAAATAAATAAATATATACATGTGTGCACATATATGTTCTCTCCTATTACCCAATGATATTGAACAATTTACTTTCATAAAAAAACATATAATGATAACATATATGTATATATCTTAAAAGAAGTCAAAAGCTCATAAAGGTGTAAAAAGTAAAAGTAAGGCAAATCTTCAAGAAAGAAAATTAAAAAGTCAAATAACATGTTAAAAGAACCTCGCACCATGACGGGCCTCAAGTCGCCATGGCCGACACCACAGCTTACACGGATGCCATGGCCGGCACCACAGCTTACACGGCCGCCATGGGGGTTAACGTGGCATCATAGACGTGCCTCACACCATGGCATGCCTTTTAGAGCCATGTTCACTGTATCACTTTTAAAGAGCTTTCCCCTAGCCCTACTAACACATATCAGAAGCAAAGAGGCGCAATAATATAGAACCTACCAGCACGGAAACACAATACATGTTCAAGAAACTTATAGTTGTACATCTAATATGCCTCCATAACTTCTTTTGAATTCCTCGACATTCGATTGCCTAGATGAAAAAGAACATATGGTAAGCTCATAGACCAATTAGGTTTCCCACCAACACTCAATAACCAGACGTGGCCCTGATCCGAATACAAAACTCCTCTTCTTGGAGAGGACTTGAGATACCTCAAGATCAATAACAGGGAACTCCATTGACAGTGGTGGTTAAAAATAAACCGACTCATGGTGATAGGGACAGTTTAACTTGAGATTCCCAAATCCTTTATAACAGCGAACACTGGATCTTTTGCTGGTGTTGCTATAAATTATCTTTTAACAGGAAAGCAGCAAAGGAAGATTCATTGATGAGCCCTTGAGACGCTTTATGAGAGGGAGCATCTCTACCAGTAGGTGAAAAGTGGACGAGGAAGGCGATATTGCAAAGTGACATAAAAGAGAGGGTTGGAATGAAGCATGCCGAGGAGCAGGCCTCCTATACATGTGAATCCAACTAGCTCACCAAAATGTTCCTTCTACGCATGTGGACCAGAACTTTAGAGAACAAAGTCGATAAGCTCATCGTAGAGCTTTTTAGAACGTGTTAAGTACTCTGTCATTGTAATTTTGTAAGGTAACCTTATATTATGTGAAGGTTGTAACCTTCACACATGTAAGGGTTGTCACAGGTCTCATGACAAACCTTCACACGATATAAAGGTACCTTCACCTTTTCTCACCTTCTCACGAAAAGGGGTTGTTCTCACCACAACCCAACCCTATATATATAAGGGCAGGTTCAAAAAAGAAGGCTAATATCGTGAGAAGGTAAGAAGGGAAGGTTCATATGTGAATCATTGGAAAAATCCATTTGAAGATGCATATGTGAACCCATATGAATAATTTGTAACTTAGGTTATCTTTAAATAGGTATATATATATATATATATATATATATATATATGCATCTTTAATCTTCCCTTCTTACCTTTTCAAGATACTTATCCTTCTTATTTGAACCTCCCATATATATATATATATATATATGACATCGCATAGTGGATACGGAACCTTTTCAAGAGGATAGACTATCACAAAACAGAACCAGATGACCAGAAGCTTATATTAACAAATCATTATAACATTGTAAATCAATGTGCAGTAATAAAATCTCAAGTTGCTTAACAAGACCAAGTGAATTTTTTCGGTCTTCGTTGATTATATACGTACTGATAAGGGTATAAGAACAGCCATATTCTCCCCAGGTTACAAGAAATTATGAAGTACAAAAAGTGAGTAGATCATGATTTAATAGTTAATAAAAGTGACTAGAATTTCAAATGTCAACAACAGTAATGATATTATTTATTAACAGAACAGAAAAATAAAGAAAAACTATAAATCTTTACCTTTTTTCACATTGTATCCTGAAGACCTTAAAAAGGGGACCATCTTTGACTCAATTTCATCATACCTACAATATAAACAACATTGCAGTAAAGATAAGAATTAAATTCCTGTTATGCACCACACAACACTTAAAACTGGCTATAGCACCTCTCCTTTGACCAGTTAACGGTTGAATCGTCCATTTTATTGACAACAACCAGCAGCTTTGAAACACCCAAAGTCTTTGCAAGTTGAACATGTTCACGCGTCTGTCCACCTCTCTCATATCCAGTTTCAAATTCCCCTTTTCGAGCAGATATGACCTGAGAGAGTGTGTGTGATGACAAAAATACAACTAAGCTATCACGTTACAGGATAACAAGACTTTTTTAAAGCAAAAGCTTACCAGTACACCTATATCAGCTTGAGAAGCACCGCTAATCATATTAGGTACATAACTTTTATGGCCCTGAAAGATGAACAATTTCACATAAATAATGATCACTGGAAAATTCAACATCCATTTTTATTTGGGTAAAGAAGGTATTTTTCTATTCTTTGTGACATTGACCACAATTATGATTCGTATTTGCATTTTGGTGGGTTGGTCTGGTATGAGAACTTATGGAAAGAGTATATTGCGGCATCTCAATGCACACAAGATAGAGAACCAGGAATGGTATCATAGATAGCAAGTTTGTCACTGCAAAACAGTCTGCAATGCATTACACATGGTCAGAACACCATCAACTTATGTGATTCTCTTTCAGAAGATGGACTACTCTGATTCTAAGCTCATAAACATAAAGAAAGCCATAGCTAAAAGCACTTGGCACCTAACAGCTTTGTAATTTGAGTAACTGTCACTTTTCATTCATCTATAACGAGTTTAAAGAATTGAAGCATCTACACTATCACTGCTAGTCTGCAAATAGTTAGTAAGTTCCAAGAGGGCGAGCTCCCTGTAACATATTTAAGTCAACAAGAGAAATTCTTTTCTATACTATGTAAGCAATATGCCTATATCTTGATGACCCCCCTCCCAAAAAAAATGAAACAAAACTGAAGGGAGGGAGAGAAGACCTCAAACCAAGTTTCCAGAAATATAAGCAATAAGAAGCTGTTTCTTCAAAATTTCCTTCTTGGATAGTTGGGAAGAGAATCACAGATTTTTCCATGCAACTACTAAAATACTTCTAACCCCAAGATTAAGAAGTAACAACTTCTCCACTGGGCAACAGTACAACAATCCAGAAAAAAAAAATGCATTAGCATGTAACATAATTGGGTCACCGTTGAAGCTTTACACGATCAAGTAGCAGACCTTGTGGTACCATTAAAGTCACGCCACTATGTGTGTGTTTAAATTCCTTCTGGTTAAGCATGTCCACATATAGCTACAACACACTTTTAAGTTGCAAGTATTGAAAGTAAAACATGTATAAAATCTGGTTAGCAAGGAGTGCACTCTAAAAGAGGAAAGGCACAACTTAGTAAAACTGCAATCAATTATAGTTCAAACAAACACCAAGGAAAATGCAATAATGATTTGAGAAAACTATTTCAAGTGTTTCACATTGAAGATGTATGAACCAGCCTCTTTGGTTAGTAAATGAACATTTACTAAAAACCAGTGTAAACCAGTTATTATAAAATCCTATATTTCTCCTACTTCCTCTCTTCATTTATTCTAAAATAACATTTTAAAATCACACAACCTCTAGACCATCATTAATCACACAATTAAACCATGAAATTTTGCATGGACCTCCCCATTCAATGTAAGTAGGTATAAACAGCTTTGAAAAAGAACCAAGATTCATGATAACAAGAGTTTTTACTTTAACTTGATCTAACAATCATCTTAAGTCATCAGTAGCTTCTGTGGAGAAAAAATATAATATATTGACGAGGACTTCTCAATTGGCAACGAATTCTTTTTAGGTCCTTGAAAGACCTGACTGAGACAATTATAACATCTGACACATCCCCATAAATAAGATAGCATGACAAGTGATCTCACTCCTGACCTCAAGAGAATCATGGTGAAGGAAGTTACCGGTGCATCCAATATGGTATATCGTGTAGTCTCTGTCTCAAAATGTGCTCGTCCAACTTCAACTGTTTTCCCCTACAATACAATGAGCATTTGCCATTAAAATACATGCATCAAGCATGAAACTAAAACCACCAAAAAGTTTTAGCTCAATCATCAAGAAAGTAATGGATAACAATTTTTAACAATCTTCTAGCCTAAAATGAAATAGGTAGAAAAAATACCTTCGCCCTCTCCTCTTCATTGGTATCCATAATATATGCCATATACCTAGTATAACATAAAGGGAACGCAAGTGAACAAAATGTGGCAAAATAAAGCTAAGTACTTCATTTCAAAATCAAAGGAGGCCCAGAAAAGACACAACCACAGATGTCATCTACATAAAAATCGAAAGGAAATAGAGAGCCATCATTGTAAGGTAATAGCAGAGAACTCAATGATATTCTAAATGGTAATCATTTATGTAATCGCTTCCTACACTTTCTGGGTATCACATTGATGTTTCATGCTTCTAGCAGCCACTTTTGCCATTGCTGCCATCTGATGCCGTCATGAAACCCTGCTGCTATGCCATTATGAAACCCTGCTTCCGCTGCCCTCAAATCTTGCTTCTGTCGTCAAAGAAACCTCATTGACGCCACAGGAGCAAACTCTAGAAGATGCAACCAGGAGCAGTAAGTCTCGAAACCTTGCTTTCAATCGATTTTGTCTCCGTTTCTGACCCAAGGTTAAACAAATGGCACTCACCTTTTCATCATCATGGGAGACAAATTCCCGTTCAAAAATCAACGTACAGTGAATTCACAGTTCCATGTATAATTAATTTTTCAGTAATTTTGAATAATCTAGTTAAAGTCGATCAATTGGTCTCAATGGAGTGTATGTGTCCAAACCGGCCTTGGAAGTTTGGATAAGGATGATTATTTGAGCCAAGACCCTACGAACCCAAAAGTCTGGGAATGGAAGCTCAATGATAGTGGCATCCAAATGGCCTTACAGAATTAAATGGAACCACAGGTCCTAAGCATTGTTGAGATCTATCCAACCACAAAGAATCATTATCCCATACTTATTTCGTGTTTGGAACCTACTTCATATGCAAGTAGACTGACTTCGAACTCATCGAGTACCATATCAGACTACCGAAGCTATATGAGGAGTTTCGAGTTCTTTTCCTTGCTCTTAATGTTAAAGTTCAAGAGGAGGGTTTAGCAAAAATGGACATGATGAACTTCAATTCAGGATTGTCCGTCCAATATTCCGGTGCTTATTCCCTATTATTGAGTGACTCAACATCTCATTCCTTGGCATCCAAGTATCCCATGCTCGAGAAATGTCCTCAAGTAACTCCCAATCACAATCCTCCAAAATGATTACCATTTGCAACTTCTAGTGCCAAAAATATTGAAAGTAAAAAGGTTAAGATGATTCGATGTTTTTGCAACTATGGGCATAACCAGTATAACTGCCCAAACCATCCCGGTTTTACCCTAGATCTCAACTGCCCCTGTGTCCTCTTTTGAGCTCGGGTAGCATCTACAAATAACATCATGACTCAAGCCTTCCATGATTAAAGTTTCTCTTGATTCCAACATGAGTACTCCAGCCATGTTCCATCTACTTCTCGTGCTAATACAACACAATCAGGAAAAACATCTACTTGTTTTTCTGCATGCTTGGTCTTATCCTAGGTTATTGACTGGGACAAAGACCTTATATCCAATCTTAAACTGATATACCTCAGAATCCATTTCATCTTGCTAATGGATCTTCATGTCCAATTACAAGTATAAGATCCAGTAGTAACCTTTCAAACCAAAGTTTGCCATTTGTTCTTTATGTTGCTACTTTTCCAATTAGTCTTAACATATATTATCCATATTACTAGAAAACGCAATTGTTCTGTAACTTTTTTCCCACCAATTGTGTCTTTCAGGAATCGGGAACAAACCAGTTGATTGGCGAAGGTTTTGAGTCTCGTGGTCTCTACCATTTGTGTCTTTCAGTAATCTAAAGCATGGTCTCCTAATATAGCTCACCTTTAGTATATATACATTTGTAGTCTCTTCTAATAAAATGCAACATATAAATTCCGCGAATCACTTACACTATATAATAGCAAAACACATCACAATACAACATAACAACACACAACAAATAAGGTAAACAAATAACAAATACCAATTAAAACACCAGAAAAAGCTTACCAGCTCTCTCTACTTTTATCCTTAGCTTCTTTCTCATATTTTTGGATTGTGCGCTCATCAACTTGGCCACTGAGGTATAGTATCTGGCCTCCAATGGTAGACTTTCCAGCATCTTTAGCCCATATCATGAACAAAATTGCATTAGATGATGAATTGTAAGGGTCTCTATGGACTATACTCTAAAGTGATTCATTGTTCAACAAGACTAGTGAAGATGAGAATGAACTTAAAGATACTTTGTCCTCACTGGTTAAGATGGCGGACCATATAAGCAAACAGATATTGCAGCGTTAACGAAGGGAAGAGGAAAATAAATCATGAAGTAATGTTTGTGATTGGAAACATCAAACAGAATATGAACCCATCCAAAGACAATCTAAGAGGATCATAGTGACAGTAAAAAGGCATGTAATCATAATTTATGCGATGGCCCATAAGCAAAACAGAACTGCTTGAACACCAACCCCCCTCGGCCCCATGTGCACCGGGGGGAGACACACCAATGAAGGATGAAGATGAAAAGGAAGGACTGAACCTGATGACAACTACATACTAACCACAGCAATTGCTGAGCTCAATTATCAAATGAACTTTTATATCACAAGAAAATATGTTAAATACTTAAATATGCCTTCAATTAGAGTTGGAAACTGCAAATCAATCATCTTCCATGAGTCAAAAATTATGAAGAATAAGTAGGTGATAATCAAATAATTGGAATCATAGGCCAACTTGAGGAAACATGAGTAAGCGAACACAAAAATGATGTGTGCACAGATAATATGAACAAAAATCGGTAGTTCATAAATCAGTTCATACACTCGGTGAAATCGAACTACGTAGAGAAAATCAACCCACCAACATGACCGATGAATACCACATTCAAGTGTCTCTTCTTATTCTTTTCCACATCATCTTCGACAAGTTCTGAAGCAGAAGTCGTTTGCTCTTTCACTGGAATTGGAAAAAGAATACGCTATTGAGAAATTAATACATATACCAGAAGCTATATCTCTGCTTCAGAACAAGCATTCCGAGTAAATGTAGACATAAACAAAGAAATATCAGAAAACAAACCTTCAACAGCAGCTTTTGGCTCAGAATGCACTGTCTGGGACTCAGCATCCTCCTCCATGTGGGAGGCAGCATGTGACTCGTCCCTTAAATCTGAAAATGTTTAAAATCTCTTTACATAGTACTCATGGCAGGACTTAACCCAACATTATATTTATATTACATGTACAATAACAACTAATGATAGTGACAATTCCTTGAGAATATCGTTGACAATTCCTTGAGAATATCGTTAACAGCACATTTCAATATTTTCAACAAGTGAGAAAAGAGAAGCAACATTATATTTATATTACATGTACAATAACAACTTATGATAGTGACAATTCCTTGAGAATATTGTCAACAACATATTTCAATATTTTCAACAAGTGAGAAAAGAGAAGCAACATTATATTTATATTACATGTACAATAACAACTTATGATAGTGACTATTCCTTGAGAATGTTGTCAACAGCACATTTCAATATTTTCAACAAGTGAGAAAAGAGAAGCTCTAGAGAGAGAGAGAGAAGATAGAAGAGGATAAAACAACGCTAAACAGACTGGGATCTTAAACGCTTAAAACAGCAAGATCTTTGTAATTCCATACCGACTATAGAAGTGGATACATTTTTAAGTCAAAACTATAGGTCTTGTGGCATACCTACTACCATACAAGTAAAGCTCAGGATATTGAACATTGTTGATCAATGGTGACGTTAATATATTATAGGCCAGATGTACAGATCTACACACTCGCCTGAAACAAGTTCAAACTGTTCTCCCCAGGATGTATATAATAGGTTAACACTTGAGAAAAGAAATATGAAGACAGCGATGAGTTCCTTAATTCTGATTTCCTGGCAATGAGCAAATGACCTTAAGAAAGAAAAATGAATAGCACTAGAATTGGCATCAGGCTCATTGAATCTTAAGTTTTGTTTAATGTATCCCCACTAGACCACCTTAACAAATGGTAAAAGCATACGAATCTCATTAGTCATGAGAAGTTCCCAAGTATAGTGAAAAAACAGAAATGATGGATTCTTCTTACCTTCTTCCATGTTATCAGGAGCTGCAGGCTCTTCAGGCTCCCCGCCATTCTCATTAGGCACCACCTTACCACCTTCAGCTAACATTTAATGAAAAATTTTAATTACACCACAGAAATTGCAGTATCTCCTTGTCCCCTTCAAACTATGAAACTACTCTTAAATAAATTCACAAGCGCAACAAAATCAGAAAACATCATAACGAGAACACCTTCGAGGCCTAACTAGCAATTTTCATTGAAGGACGAGTAACAGATGAGTATATACAGTTCGTAAAATCAGCCTTCCAAACAGAAAGTAGATAACCGATAAAAAACACTGATGCTCGATTAAATTAGATCAAGGATACCTACCAGATGAATCAAGCTGCAACGCACGAATGTCCTCCTCGATATTATCTATGGTTGAAGAAAAAATCCAATAAGCCACTTTGATAATATACAAATATGTAAGGATTAACAGAAATAACACAAAATAGGAATTCGATTATTGAACTCAAATCATCTTCATTAACTAGTAAAACATGATGAATTTGAACGACGAAGCTACGATCTAAGATCATAAACAGATTAAAAACAGATTCAAATAGAGAAAACCTTACCCATTCGGTGAACTGATGATTCACAAGACAATAAGAAATTTCACTTAAACCTGAAGTAAAAGGAACAAATTCATCCCTGTTAGATGAGCAGAGAAGATGAAGAAATGAGATTGAGATTGAGATTGAGAGAGAACGTACTAACTGACGAACACTGAGATGCTTGGCGTCGCTGCTGAAAGACTGCAGGAGAAGAAAATTTTAGAAAAGAATCAGGGGGTGTACTTTATATACATACGAATTTCAGCTTAACATCGGTTAATATTTTATACTATTTTTTTAATAAAAATATTTATTGCAGGATATTTTCTGAAATAATGGACTCTCTCAAATAAATTTGACTTTGAAGAAAATAGAATAGAATTAATCGTATATTTAGTTGGAATGGATACTGTTAAATGATTTAAAATATGCGTATTTGGTTGGGAAAATAAAGCTTCGGAACTGAAATGAATCAACAATAAATGACCAAAATACCCCTTTTATAAAGATGGTGGTCGAAGGTGGTTTAGATTGGTAGTGTTCAGCAGTGGTTCAAAACGGTGGTGGTTTAGATTGGTGGTGGTCGTCGGTGGTTCGAAACGATGGTGGTTGGCGGTGATTTAGATCGATGGTTCAGAATGGTGGTGGTCGATAGTGGTTCATAACGGTGATTTAGATCGGTGATGGTTGACGGTAGTTCAAATCGATGGTGGTCGACGGTGGTTTAAAATGATAGTTCAGGTTGGTGGTGGTCGATGGAGGTGGAGATCGGTGGTGGTTCAGATGAAGGTCATATGAGTCTGGGTAAATCGAGTAGGGAAGATGCAGATAATTTTGTCTTTTTGAGAAAAATGAGATGGAATGGAATTCTTTCTCGATTATAATAGAATGACCAAATCCATAAATGACAGAATGTGTGGAATTCAATTCCATTTCATAAGTAAGCAAAACGCATAAATGGAATTTGGTAAACAGAATTGATTACTCTGGTAAACAGAATTGATTACTCCAATTCCTGTATATTCCATCGTAATCATGTGAATAAAACGCCCCCTAAAGTTATGTTTGGCAAACTAGCTATAAGCTAGTAATGGCTTATAAGTTAGTTGATGCAATAGATCACGTATGGTAAAAAAAAACTAGCTGATAAGCTAAATGAAAATTGTAAAATGATAAAAAAAAACATCTTGAAAAATTAGTCAATTACAATATTTATAATTAAAACAAATCTTTAATAATTTAATAAAGTAATTAATACAAACAAGATAGTAAAAAAAATATAATTG